TCCATGAGTTCAATGAAATATGTTGGGAAAAGTGTGTTGGTAAACCAAGTTCTAAGCTGGATAGTGGAACAGAAACCTGCCTACGTAATTGCGTTGATCGTTTTATTGACACTTCACTTCTTATCACCCAACGTTTCGCGCAACTGCTGCAACAAGGATCCACGCACTAACATGTTGAAAACGAGAAAAAAAGACAACTTTAAACCCAAAGCAGATAATATTAATAATGATGCATTTGCCATCTTGACTATAATGGGTCAATATAACGAACTCATTAGCTGCCAGTGAGAACTAGAGTAATGTGATTTTTATCAAAAAAACATGTTTCTGTTATTTAAGTTTAAAATAAAAATTACATAAAATATACATAAAATTTTTTTTATTCAAAATTTTTCTGCTTAGATTTTTTTAGTTGTCTGTAGAGTTCAACTATTTTGCTCTGTTCATTCTCCAGCATTGATCTCGTAGCAAGGGGCAGATCCTTTCGTTTTCCTTTGAGTTGCGATTTGGAAATTGTTTTATTTTTTATACCCTTCAACTTTGCCGTTGCGTTATTTGAATTTGTGGGTTTGTTGTCAGTCTGATCAAGAAGTGTCTTTAGTAGTAGATTTTTTTTTCCGGGCTAAAACATTAACAAAAATTTGTTTATTTATTTAATTATAACCTTATATCGCATACAAAATTAAAAAAATCAGGAACTTACTCTTGGCACAGTGTCTACTTTTTCAGCTCGTCTTGGTAGCGTTGAGAGTGTTGGCGGCCTATGCACTATTTCACCAAAGGATATAACGTCACGTTTGTACTCCTCAATATCTGGCTTTTCATTTCTTTTCTATAAGAAACTTGATATATAAATAGAAAAATGGATACCTGGTAAGAACATTACCTCTTCTTTATCTTCTTTTATCGCTTGTTTAATTAATGCTTTGGCTTCCTTTGGATCCATTCGGTTCACTTGTTGAGATTTACTCGCTTTTCTACCCTTTCTTTTATTATTAATTCTTTCATTCTGTTTTTGTTTTAACAGTTCATCAATTTCATTTTTAGGACGTTTCTTAATAGTAATTTCGCCAGTCTGCGGGTCTCGTAACACATTTACACCATATTTTGCTTCATATTTGGCTTCTCTTAAGGATTCAGTTGTCATGCGATTAACACGCCTCAAATAGTCCTCATCACTTTCACCAGAAATTTGTTTAATATTGCGTATTTTATTCTCAGGAATGCGAGTTTTATTTTTTTTGTTCAGTTTCTCCACTGGTTTATCCTCACGACCTGCGTGTGGTTTCTTAATTTTTTTCCCGCACTTAACATCGTCCGCTAATTTCTTAAATTGAGCAAATTTATAAGATATTTTCTGATCATTTCCAATTTCAGGTGGATTGTTAATTGAGTTTTTTAGACTATAGAAAGAGTTTTTTTAATAATAACATATTTTGAGAAATGTATTAAAGCTTTTATAACTACTTACGATTTTTCCTTAAGCTCCAATTGTTTTAATGGATCACGTACTCCATGATGTTTGCGCGCTGGAATTTTTCTTCTTCGTGCCATACTACAAATATTAATATTTATGTTTATTTAGACTACTTAATTTATATGTCCTCCTTGTCCACGTTTTTTGGTTTTGTTATGATTTTTTATTCTAGTCATTCGATATTTTGTGGAACTTATGCTAGCATATGTTGTGGAAGATATTGAACATATTTTAAATGTATTGATACGATTTATACGTTCTACACGTAAAGTACGTACGTTTGCAACGTACTTGCTTCAACTAATTGTACTTTTATTTATAAGATTTAGTGCCATATTTAGAGAATTATTAGAATTTCAATATTAGGCAATAAATTACTAGTATTATTTAAAAATTGTACGTTAAAATTCAAATCAATGTCACTTTAGTGTCAAAATGATGTTTATGTGCCCTCAACCTTAATAAATAACTAATAATAGGTTCGAAAACTGTGTTTAAAAACTGTTTGTATGAATACTTTTCTAACTTTAGGTAGATCAAGTCTAATGGAGTTATAATTTTAAATTTTTAAGTTTTAAGTTTCAAATTTTTTGAGTTGTCACGTCGAAAGTTTAAAGTCGGTTTTGTTTTTTAAGATTTTAACCTTAGGACTTCTATTAGTAATTCTCCTGATGAAGGCGAATTTGCCGAAATACGTATAGGAATATACAAAAAAATACAATCGAAATAAAAGTTAGAATCCTAAAAAACAACACCTACTTTATAATGGACTTAGTTGACCATTTAATGACGCGCACGTATAAAATATCTAACAAATATAAGCTAATCTCTTTTATCTGTTTCAACATGGAATTTTCTACTGAAAACATAGTTAAATAAAAAAAGTTGATATCGTAAGGTTTAAGGTAAACAGAAGTGATGCTTAACACGTTTTCTTGTTCTGTTAGAATTTAATCAAAAACCAAATTTATGTACATATATTTTCGAAGCGGATTAACCGCTTTTTATAAAAAATCATTTTCGTAATTGCATAGCTAATGTTGATGTGAAAAATAATAGTATTTAAAAAGTAAATAGATCATAATTATTTTCTATTCTATTTATATATTATTAAGTTATGTTGTGAGTATGTAATTAGTTGTCTCTAAAGTAATCCACAGAATTTGTAACTTAACGTAATATAGTATTTATGTTGACATTTATTAACCACTGCCTATTTGCAAATACGTTCCACAAACACTTGCACTATTTTTCACCATAAATAGGTGATTAGCAAAGCAAATATAAAAACAAAAAGTTGCGAAAAAAGATTTTAGCTCCTGAAAAGTGATAAATAAATAAATAATTAAATTTTGACTAATAAAATAATTGTGTAAAATACATTTGAATATTGAGGCAGTAAAGGATTGTGAAAAGAATTCAAATGTATTGAATTAATATTAAATGCGTTCTAATATTATTTTCCCTAACTACAGTTAAATAAACAAAAGCGTAGTATCTAAAAGGTCAACGGAACAATAACAAATAATATACATTGAAATCTTAACAAAGAAATTAACAAATACGAAACCAAACTAAGCAGACGCAACACAATTTCCTATTTTAAAAATGGTTGAGCCAATTTTTGACTATCAATTTCGATTGATTTTAATAGGAGACAGCACAGTGGGCAAAAGTTCACTTCTTAAATTCTTTACAGATGGCAAATTCGCTGAGGTAAATATTTACTTATTCTTTAAATAAAAACATTCATATTACATAATGATTTTGATTGGTCCAGTTCGCTTACTTCCGACAGCCGTGTTATATACGTATATATGTTGTCTGTTACTGATAAGGTAGATTTTTTTATTTCGTCTGATGAACTTGTTCATTCAAAATGTTACAGTATAAATTATTTACATCAGGCGTGGCAAACTGACAATAAATTATGCAGTAAAGATTTCCTATGACTAATGGTCATGTTCGTATATACTACATATATATTGCATTTGTTAATCATAACACTTAGAAATGTATAATATATATAGATTATCTACTACTACATAGAAATATTTCTCAGAACATCAATATATTGTTGTTGTTATTACCCTCTTTATTCCTTTCGTATGATGATATCCTAATAGGAATGGTTAGCAATACTTAGCCGTCATAAACAAGATGAGAGCGCAGAAATTCTCTATTGATAGTTGTAACAAATCACGCAGGCTCATAATATCATAGCATATATGCAGTTTACTGTTAGGATCAGAATATCATAGCATATATGCCGCAGGATAGTTCGAGAATTGGGTTATACCGAGCTACGGCATAGTGGAAGACATTGTTGACAATATTTAATTTACTAATTTTATTGAATAACGACGTGCGGGAGGTAAGAAAGAATATCCCCTAAGCATTCTTTTATTCATAGCTATCATTAACAATTATTACAAATTAAATAAAAGAGCGAACCTTTTCTGCATAAGCGAACTAATCAAATATATTAAGTGAAATAAAAACATATTAATAATAATAATTTAAATTCTTTCAGCTATCTGATCCGACAGTAGGAGTGGACTTTTTTGCCCGTCTAATAGAAATGAAAGATGGCACTCAAATCAAACTACAACTATGGGATACCGCTGGTCAGGAGCGTTTTCGTTCTATTACAAAATCCTATTATCGCAATTCGGTTGGTGTACTACTAGTTTATGATATCACTAATAATGACAGTTTTGAGCACATACCTCTCTGGATGATGGAAGCACAGCGGCATATCGAACCGCATCGGCCAGTGTTTGCACTTGTGGGCTGTAAATTAGACTTGGTTGATGCCGGTGGACACCGTGAAGTGAGCCACGAGAAAGCACAGGCATTTGCAAATCAACACGGGCTACATTTTGTTGAGACTTCTGCACGTACCGGTTTGAATGTAGCCGAAGCATTTCGTATGGTCACACAGGAAGTATATGCGCGCATACGATCTGGTGAATATAAGATCGAGGATGGCTGGGATGGTATAAAAACAGGATTTGCACGACCAAATAGTTTAGATTTTAATTTAGTGGTGGCAGAGCCAGAAAAATCATCTTGCTGTTGATATGTTTATATATGCTATACATTTTATGTTGTTATATTTCCTTAAGATGAAAGAACAAATGTTTACAAATAATTTTAAAATGTTATAATTTTATGTTAAGTTAGATTTTGTTTTTATTGAACAATTTAAACAATTAATTTTATTGGAAGCAATTAACCTTATCATTTATGTGTTACCCTCATAAATCGTGTTGGTTGGCGAGGCAGTTTTGTGGTGATTTACCCTCATAATTTGGTGATTATTAAGTTACGAGAAAGTCAATTTAGATTCTATAGTAGACTTAGTTAATATTAATGTTTAATGGATATGATTTAAGCTACTAATCCAATCTTTTTCGTTACTATATTCTTCTAATAAGAAAAACTGACAATTCAATATATAGAAATAACTGAATGCGAGGATGATCTTGCATTCTGAAGTAGAAGCTTAAATTTTAACATTTTTCTTAATGAATAGAGACTTGTATTCAAAACCTTAACAATTATATTTAAAGTATCTTTGAATTTGTACGAAAAACGTTTTTAATATATATATATATGTATTAAACAATTTTGAAAAAAAAATAAAATAAAATTACATACTTCAGTAAATGTATCTTTGCAGTCTTTTTTCTTTTCAATCTTTTATATTTATATATACTATAAATTCAATTGATAAAATTAATTTTATATTATAACCGAAACGTTTAATGTTTACTATTATTTACTATTTATAGCAATTACTTTTTTTTAATATTCAATACATGTTCTAGAAAAATATGCTAATAAACATGAATGCATATAAGTATCTAATCTAAGACATATATAAGATGAAGAGTCTAGACTGGCTTGGTGAACAAATGGCATAAGCTACATTTACTTTACACTTCTTCAAACTCTGGTAACAATTACAATCTAATGGGCATTCATTCATGACATTCAATTTTGCAAATACTTGTGCATATCATCCATCATACTTCGTCGTTCTATTCCTTTCATTACTTTGAGCTGACATCGATTTTCCCAATTTAAACACTGTACCTATTTAATTTTTGAAGAATGATTAAAGATTAAAAAATTTAGGGAATACAAGGGCTGTTATATTATATTGAGAAGCGTTAATGAGCAACTATACTTAGTGAAACCATTTTATAATGTGAATCATAAATTGCGATAACTTCTTCACTTTCTGTATATTCTTTTTAATGTAAAGCAAAATTCTAATAGTTTTCTTGCCCTTTTGTTAGATGAATATCAAAATTAGTTGTGAATAATATTTACTTTTACAGCTTTACCGAGTAATAATTGAAAACAGCGAGTAGACTTCTTATATGTCATATATTTACCAATTACCGAACTTCGGTTGAAGATCCGTAATACAACACTGGATTGCAAATGAACAGCGATCAAAGATTTTATATGCTGATTAAGATATATTTTTTTATTTATTATAATAAATATAACAGAAAAAAAAGCTTTTGACAAAGAAACACAATAAATGGCATTTATGATAATACAAGCCTTATAAGACATTTACACTGTCTCATTTAGGTGGTTTGGTTCATTATGGTTAGTAATGACGATGATTAACCATACAAAGAGCTTTCATATAAATGAGCTTATTATCAATAAATCAGCTTTTTTAAGGCGAAAAATGTCAAATGCAACCCTTAAAAATAAATTTCCAACCAGGGAAATTACCAAAATTTGAAATATGTGTCATATGTTTTATATGTAAAATGTAAACAAACGACACCTGATCTGTAAATAAAGGCTCAGAGATAGAAAGCATTTAATGAAACCTTTGTTTTTATAAATTGAATATTTTTTGACATATAAAATATTTTATTCTTTTATTTGTGACCAAAAATATTATATACTAATTTATTAGCGGGCTAATTTAAATAGAAATAAAAAAACTATAACTTATTTATATTTAAAAACAAATTATATTTTATATAAATATTTTT